TCAAGGACGTAAATCTTCTTCCATTCTAAAAGTAACCGCATTCTGTGGTTGTCTCGCGACTTTCTGTCGGTAAAAGCGATCGCTGCCACACAGAATGGTGGCTTTGACCATCGTTTCTGGTGGGAAAATGCCAAAATAATTGCAGACTCGGCTGCCGTCAGAAGAGATCGCCAGCTTCGCAAATGGCAACTGCTGGCGTCGGTTGCGGAGGTGAGAAAGCACAAAACCGAAGCAACACAAGCGCAAACTGGTTCACATTTCTGCTTACCAATACTTGCTCGACTTGTGTTGGGCGTTCCTCGATCCGTCGGCTTGTTGGGCTCGTCTCTTGCTTGCTCTGGAGCGCAGCTTGAAGATGATGATGAAGGTGACTATGACAATGAAGACGACGATGGCTGCGATGATGATGATGATGGTCTCGAGCTTGAGACTGCCCAAAGCGCTTCCTGCGGAGGCTACTTCGCCACTCGGGCCGTCGACAGCCCGGACCGGTGGGGCGGTCGTCTCCGGTTCGTAGAGCATTGAATCGTCGAGAGACGACGGCATCCAGCCGGACTCATGACAGAGGTCCTCTTTCGAGATGGTACCGAGCAGGCGGTTGTTGAGTGAGCTCGGAGAGGAGCAGCGAATCTCACCGCTGATCTTGGAGCTGAGTCAGCGGGTAAATGAGTCATTAAATGATTTGATGAATAAATTAATAATTGTGTCGTCGAATGGATAATAGGTTGAACGATAGATTGAATGAAATTTAATGAATGAGTGATTAGATAAATGGGTATTGTATTGATTATTAAATGATTTATTGATTAAATTTATAAGTAAATACATGAATTAATGCTTAAATTATAATGCAAATAATTGAATGGTTGAGTAAGTAGATAAATTAAAGAAGTAATGATTAATCGATTAATATAATAATTGAATGAATTAGTGAGTGAATAGAACGGTTGAATGATGAAATGATTGAGTAATTAAGTGAATAAGTGAGTAAGAGATTGAGTGATTGAATAAGAAGCGAATGAGTCATCGATGGTATCAGTAAAGATGTAAATGAGTGAATAATTGATTGAATGAATAAGTGAGTTAGTGATTGAGTAAGTGAATGACGAGGCAAAAGGAAGATAGTTGAATGCTTTTCAGAAAAGTTTCGGTCAACAACTCTTTCAAAGTTGACGTTCTATTTGTCGTGGCCACTTAGAAAAGCCTAAAATTGAGACATTTTTACTTTGATACCTTATTTTTATTCGTATTTGATGTTACCCTCAAACTGGTATGTCAGCAAACCGGAGGAACCCACATTGAGTCTAATAATTTTTATCAGCTTTTCTTTCATGTTTCTATGCTCGTACTCACGCTCACACACACACACACACAC